GAGATGCAAAAATGAAAAGACTTACTTGCAAGCCGCAGGCTGACCGTCCCCCAAGGGAGAGTCCCTGCCTCATGGGTCCTCCCTGCTCCCACTTAGCGTCTCCCGCTAAGGAAGCATTTTCCCTGCGGTTCCAGCATTTTCAAAGTCTCCCTTTTCCTGCTCCCGGATAAGTAAGTTTGGTGAGGTCTGTGGTGATTGTGGGTTTGGAGACAGCTCAGCTCTTTTCCTCAGGAGACTTTTGACTTGGTGACCTCCTCCTGGGGTCCTCCTGTGGGTCCCCTCCCGGGGCGCCTCACCCGCTGGTGGCTCCCTCCCACATCTCCATTCCAGCTGGACTGCAGAGAAGAGCCCTAGTCAAGGATACTAATCACCCAACCTGCAAGAGTTTCCTTCTGGGGGAGAGAGACCACTTAGGAGGGAAGGGATTGTTCTAGACGCCCTGTCCCCCAAAACGCTGGTCACATGAGGACAACAGGCTCTCAGAGTCGGGGGAGCCGGGAACCAAAGGTGCCTCATTACCCAGCCAGGGGTCAGGCCTCCTTCCCTGGTGGCCAAGGACAAGGAGTTAGGGTTTTGTTTTGCCTCTGTTTGGTGAGACCTGCTTCACGTTAAGGAGAGGTGCCCACATGCCCTGGGATGGCCATCCTCCAGCCACGATGTCTAGAATCCAGCTCACAGAGCATTTGCACTGGAAGCTGCTTGCAGTCACAGGGGCGGCCAAGGTGATGGGTGGGAATGGGAACGTGGCTGAATCAGGGGCACTTCCTGACGCGAGACGCTGTCCTTGACCTCCCGGACGCAGAGTTCGTCCATTTAGCCTGTGAGCTATCACAGCCCCGGGCTCTGGAGGCGTGAGCTGGGTTGCAGGAGAGCTCCCGGTCGGCGGTCGGCGTGCTGGGCCGTGCGTGTTCAGATAGGCCACCAGGTATCCATTGCTCCTTGAAATGTGGAAGTTGGCGCATAAACCGTCCAGTTCCTCAACCTTCTGCTCCCATAAAAAGCACCCGATTCACTTCCCGACTGGGCGCCCTCAGTGCCCGCCCCTCCCATTCATACAAACTATGTAAAGTTTGTGACGAGCCCCTCAGCTTCCGGGAGATGGGCAGAGCGGCCGACGCACCTTGCACGGTCATCAAATAAGTAAACTCTTGCCTTCCCCGCCGGGCAGCTTCCTCGGTGGGATTTCACTGGGTACCTTACTTTGTGCGTGGAGCTCGAGGCAGAGCCCGCAGGCCCCCGTCAAAAGTGTTGAGGTGGGGAGGCCTTCCTGGGTTCTGTTAGTGACCAACTGAAATCAGGATGTATATTTTCCCCAGCCCGGTGCCCATCTCCCTCTCCGTGGCCAGTGCACTCCTGGTCTCTGCCCGGCCTTTGGAAAGCCATCAGACCGTGGCCCTGTGCATCATCGTTGACCTCCTACAAGACCCAGGGGGGAATGACCTGTTTGTGCCCTCACGGTCCCCAAGAATGGGCCCATTGGGGGATGCTCGGGTGACGGGTCCTAACGCATCACTGGCTCTGTCAGCTGCAGCTTCCGTAACTCGTCCTGGCAGGTCGGTTATGTCCGAAGGACACATCCTTCTGGTTTCACAACCCCCATAACTGGATCATTCAGTGTGGTCCAAAGATGGTCAGGCAGAGGAGGCTCCCCCATATCACATAGCTGCTTTCGGTGGGGGGGGGGGGGGGGGGTGGAAGGAGGTAGACGTAGGTCCTCATCCGTCTGGGTAAACTGCAGGGGGCCGTTGGGAACTTCCTCCTCCCGTTGGCCTAGAGAGAGCCCAACTGCCGAATAGGCTGGACCTGGGTGTGTGTTCACTTTCTAGCCCGTGGCTCTCCCCTCCCTGAGCCCGTTTCCCCGTCAGTAGGTTGAGGGGGGGCTGCAGTCCCCGCCAGGCACACGGTACGTGTTCCACAAGCCATGACCGCTGCTGGTGCTGTGATGTTAATTTCAGGTAGGCTGTCACCAAAAAGAAGGCAGCTGGGGCTGCGGGTTTGCAGAGCTCTGCTGTTTAGAAACATTTCTCAGTGAGGGTCCCCGTGGGATGCCTTGGACACCATTAAGCCAAGAGGGTGTGATGGGAACTCCCTCTCAGTCTTCCCTCTGCAGCCCTGCACAGCCCTCTGGCCACATTCATGGCTCTTACTACTTTCTCAAGTGCCCTCAGCCACCAGGGGAAGCCCCTCGGGCTCCCCATGGGAGCTGAGCCACATCCGGGAGGGAGAAGGGACTGGCCCGATGGGGGCAGATGGAGAGAGCTCCTGAGTGGAGGAGAGGAAGGGCCACCGAAATCCCCCACTCGGTCCATAGAAGGGCCACTCAGCGCGTTTCCAGGTCAGGAACCACTGGGAGGCATTTCTGGCCGTCAGGATCTCAGCTGGAGGAGACTCTAGGAAGCATCTGGTCTGGATTCCTCATCGTACAGTTGGGGAAACTGAGGCCCAGGCCGAGGGAGTGGTCTGCTCGAGGTCAGGCTGCTGTGCAGGGCAGAAGTGAGGACCAGATGTGAGGCCACTGGCACAGGACGCTTTACGACGCGGGGGGAAACTCCTGTCTCTGTGGGCTCGCAGGTGGGAGGAACCGGGCCCTGCTCCCCGGGGAGTCTGGAACGTTTGGCCCCCAAGCATTTAGTGCATTCTCCTGCCTCCAGGCAGGGCTGCCTTTAATCATCCTGTGCTGTCCAGGAACCGAGAAAGCTTTTCACGAACAACATTTACCATTTCAGCTCCTTCTGCCGTCTCGCTGTGGCTGGCCACCCGTGGGGGTTGCTTGCCTTCATTTAAAGCCAGGAATTTAGCAAATGTATTATCAAGCCTCAGATGGATTCTGTTTTTTGATAACAGCTCTGTTGAGATGTAATTCACAGGCCATACAATCCCCACATTTAAAGCGTATGAGTCCATGGGCTCTGGTATAGTCACAGTTGTGCAACCATCACTGTGATCGGTTCTAGAACACTTCCGTCTCCCCGAGGGAACCCCGTACCATCAACTCCCCATTTCCCCCCAACACCTCCAGCCATAGGGTTTGCTCTTCAAGAGTTGAGGTTTTTTCATGTTATTTTTCGTATTCTGGGACACACTCGTGAGTATTAGAGAACGGCGATCTGCTTCTCATTGGGGGCAGGGGATCTCCAGGGAAATGCTGGGTTTTTCTCGGTGTTTTTTTTTTTTTTTTTTT